GTCAACTTTGCCATATAGAGGGTTTTATGTATTCTGTTTTTAAAAAGATTCTACGAATGTATCAAATGTTTATAACTAATTGTGAAATATTCGTACCATAAGTTAATCATTAAATTAATACTGTTCGAATTTTAGTCAACGAAACAGGGTTGTATTTGTATATTGTTCAAATGTGATTGTCGTGTTAAGAACATTATATAAAGTTGTTCAATATCTGTAATAATTGTCCTACTGTAAAAGGCCAATGTACATGTAGATGCCCATATCATATCATAGGGAGGGATCAATCGTACTTTTCAAAAACTCACTCTGTTTCAAACAAAAAGTTCTCAGAAACTTACATTATCAAGATGCTTGATTTCTTGATTGACAACATATTTGTTACGTTTAGAGGACGGGTTTTTATAACAAACAACCGGCATTCCCAAGGGAACCAACTGTGCTCCTCTTCTTGCCAGCTTGTTCCTTTATTCATTTGAGGCTGACTTCATACAGGAGTTTCTTAGAAAGTAAGAAAAGAAGTTGACATTATCCTTTAACTTCACATTCCGCTATATAGATGATGTCCTTTCACTAAATAATTCAAAGTTTTGTGACTATGTTGAAATAAATTTGTAATGAGATTTTTCAAAAGATTTCCTTTAATTAAATATGAAAACTATTTTTGTGATAAGGTTGTGTGGAAGTGTAGTGTAGAGAGAAGAAAAATCATAACTTTCAACAGAATTAAATAGACCATCAAAGCACGTATTTTATCTAAAACCTCTAATGAATTTTTACACTCCATTTATTTTCATAAGCTTTATTACAAAAGTTAATATCAAGTTCTTTGATAGTAGTAAAGGAGGTAGTTAGAAGCACTGACAGATTAGTAGTAGAACACTTACTAGATGCGGAGATGAAACGGAATTTAAATGGTTGTTTGTGTAATTTAGGTAACCAGTACATAGTCGGGACTTTCAAATGTTCGGAAGAGGCTTTAAGCTGGGTAGAGGCAGTGATATGCTTTGACTCTCTGTGGAGCGTAAGGACTTGAATGTAGACGAATTGATAATTTCGTTTTGGAGAACTACTGTGTAGTATATGCGTCACATCACCACTATATTATTGGCTGCTTTGTCTGCCGGTACGAACACAAACCGCTTTGCGAGTAGTTGCAGTTTATTTTTTATTCTAGAAATGGGTATATCATTGACCCTACTATTAATTTCAGAATTTTTTTAAAAATGAGATATACCAATATCAACAGTATTCATAATTTTTTTCAAATAACTGTCTAGAGATTTTTTATCAGTTTTTTCTCGTTTACACCAATTTTTACAGTAGGCAGACAAAGCGTCTTTAATGACCTGTTTCCAATCTATTATAGATGGAGGACGATATTAAGGTCCTTTCTTAAGAAAAGTTTTTACCTCACGGTCTTCGACGATGTTGAGGTCTCCTGTAATGACATGACTATAGAGAACATATCTAAAACTAGATGTTTCCCAGTCTCAAGTGGAAGGAGCATTATTTTCTATATTGACGTCTGCTGTAACTGACGTATAATCAAAAAATAAACTTCTGCTGTTTTTTGTTATAAGAATACGAAATAATAGGTGGTTCTGTATTATCAAAATATGGAGGTATTTGACTATGGATGGTAGAGTCATTTAATATACTAGATAAGTTAATAAAATTAATACCTCTATTTATATATTTTAATTTAAGAAAATGCCGTTTATGATTTTCAGGTTTGTCGATACTAGGAAACAGCCTGTGATGACAAAAGGCTGTAATAATATTGGTGTATTCATACAACAGGCTAAAAAATGAATTTTTATCACACTCCTGAAAAATAGTTTACATAATACTTGATGTCTACCATTATTTTTTAATATAGATAAAAGATCAGCAAGTGTATAATTTATACGATGATTAATACGTTGATTACGGTTTTTGCGTTTACCATGAGACCTATTATTTCTTAGTCTTTTATCGGCAATATTAATAACATCGATAGAAGTTTTAGATATGTTCCCCTGTCCCAATATTTTGTCATTGAGACCGAGAGGATAAGCTGTTTGAAGTCTTTTTATCAAAAATAGTTCGCGAACTTCACGGGATTTTTCAAATTGCTTGTGTGATTGTCCTGGTTATTTCTGAACGGTTTCAAGTGGTTGGAATTTTATAAGTTTTAGATTATGATTATGCTTATCTAAATGTTCGGATATCAAACTTTTGAATTTTTTAGGTCTTCGAAAGCGGTTAAGGTGCTCTCGATTTCTTCTGTAATATTCTCATTCCGTTTGTCTCACATATTGAATACCACACTTAGGCTGGGTTCAAGTTACCACATATATAAGGTTTTGACTTTTTCAGGTAATGTCACAGGAAAAGGAGAGTAAAAATGCTCTCCCGTTCACTATTGACCTAACAGTATTTTGTGAAGTTAATCTAAAACAGGTAAGTCATTTTTTGGCATTGCACGGGAAAATTTGTGGATATCCACGTTCATTTTTTGTTTAACAATCTGGCTGCAGAGGCATTACAAATACGTTTGTTTAAGCACGTGGATATCCTAGAAGTTGGGTTGTTATTTAATTTCTTTCCATTACGTAAAATCATGATAATTTAAATAGGGGTATAGGCAAAAAAAAACCGGAGGATATAACATAGAATAAGGATCACACTTACGGAATAAGAAATAATAGGCAAAGCAGTAAAAGAACTCTTACAAAAACTGTTATAAAAAGCCCGACGTGAAGACTTAAGTGATACAAAACAGACATATAACAAACACAGGGCAAAAACAGAGATTGTAAGAAATCTAAGTAAAACCATAGCAGGGGGCAATAATAAAAATAGTATTTATTTATTTATAGATGAGTATTTATAAATCCAAACACCATAATATTTAATTAACAATTAAGAACAAATATATAATAAACATTTGAAAGCTCTCTCACAGGCAAATAACCCATAATTGTAAAATATAAGGGCATACACCACAAGCACGATAAGCTATTATAGGTTGCACTTCTGTAAATATAGACAATGCAATTTCCCATAGGAATCCCTTTATGGCTAAAACTGTGCCACTCTTACTATGAAAGTTTCGTAAAAAATTATATCCTAGAATGGAAAGTTGATATTCACTTCTATTTTATTCAAAGGTCAAAACATAGGGCTGTGCGACATATTTTCAACATTTATATGCCCCGAACTTCTAAGAGTTTTAACTTATACTAAAATTCTGTACTACCCTTCCCTTCACTTTGGGTCTTCCCCAGAAGTTACTATGTTTATTTATACCGGTAACATTCCCAAGTTATGTCTCTATGAGATGAAACATAGAGATCATAACTTGGAACCAGTATGTAAACAACACAAAATATCTATGAATATTATATATCCCCCCAAAAGAGGCGTGGTTTGTGATTCAGCTGTATTTACAAAGTGCAACCTATAAGCCATTTACGCTAAAATTATATTGATTTGTATTTCAAATAATCATTTATTTAACATTTATTTAAGGTTCTTTAAAGAATACAAGACATTATTTAAAGCTCGGGGTTTTCATTGACAGTTTTTTTCCTGATTTATATATATATATATATATATATATATATATATTTAGGTTAGGATATGATAAAGTTCAACCGTTAGTGTCAGGAAAGTCAGTTAGTCTTTTTTTTTATTCTTTGATCTGATTCTAAACATGTATAAAACGAATTTTTTTTTCAATAACATAGTGTTTGTATATAAACATGACGATTCTGACGCTATTTTAATTATTTCTTTTTAAGAATGTAACTGAAATTAAATCTTGAGCAATAATCCCAAAAATAAATGACGAAAACAATCATCTATTCATTACTAAACAGTCCAACAGTTTGAATTTTTTTTTTTTTTTTTTCGATCTCGCAATTTTTTCCCCTCTGTTGGGTATTTAAGCTTATCACAACCGAAACGAGAAAAAAACACACGTGCTTGTCTTTGAATCATGACTGAAAAGAAGAAAACGCATGTTGAAATTTCAGTAGAGGAACAACTACTAATTGCAAGGGGATATGTAAATAACAGATGCAATTGGCCATCTGTTTACGCAGAAGTCAAAAAGGCCATGGAAAGATTGCCAGAAAAATGCCAAGCTCTTTACAAAGATGGACCATTTGAGAAGATAAAAAGAAGAATGTCGGATCAATTAACAAAGTTGGCATTTAAAGATCCAGTCTCTATACAAAACGAAAAACTGAGGCGGTTTATTGCTGAAATAAAAACAAATGATAGGCGATACACTAAAAAATGTCATCCAAACGAAAAGAGACCTAAAGCGAAATACCAAAAGGTAGTTTTCTATATATAAGTTAAAGTTTCAAGTTTTAAGAAAAGGTATCGAAGCTCATAACCACCATCTGTTTTTAAGTTTCATCATGAAAATTCAAGAAATGTTGAAAATTTAAGAAAATGTGTTGAAAATATGTTGAAAATTCAAAAAACATTTTTTTTTAATTTTCAAGAAACTATGCTTAAATTTAAAATAAACTATGTTTTAAAAATTCAAGAAAAAATGCTGAAAATTCAAAAAACTATTTTGAAATTTTAAGAAACTGCTCTGTATTTTCAAGAAACTTTCATGATAATTTAATAAAATCTGTTTAAATTTCCTGAAAAAAATAGTATTTGAAATTTCAACATATTTTCTTAAATTCCACTCAGTTTCTTGAATTTTAAACTTAGATTCTTGAAATTGCAACGTTATTACTCGAGTTTTCAAAATCACAAAAAACAACACATTTGAATCCCCTCTTTCTCTAGAAATATCCCGGACCCCCCCCCCCCCCTCCCCCCCCCCCCCCCTCATCTCAAAAGCTGGATGCTTAGAGAAGATCACTGGTAACAGCTACAAATTGCAGATAAAAATAAGGGTTTTCTATCTGTTTTCATGAATAATGTGTGCATACATGTAACACTCGTCACCCTGTATAATAATTTGTGTTAAATAAATAATATTCAATTTACTGGTAAGTTGGGTTTTCTTTATTACAGAGGTAGTGGTGAGCTTGAAGCTGATAATAGGAAAGTTGCGATTCCAATAGATGATGAGATGGATGCTGTTCCAAATGATTAGGCGGCGTTGAATCATGATCAGGCGGTGGTGAATAATGATCAGGCGGTGGTGAATCACGATCAGGCGGTGGTGAAAAATTATCAGGATGTGGTGAATAATGATCAGGCGGTGGTGAATAATGATCAGGTGGTGTTGAATAATGATCAGGCGGTGGTAAATAATGATCAGGCTGTGGTGAATTATAATCAGACATTGGTGAATAATGATCCGGCGGTGGTGAATAATGATCAGGCGGTGGTGAATAATGATCAGGCGGTGGTGAATAATGATCAGGCGGTGGTGAATTATAATCAGACATTGGTGAATAATGATCCGGCGGTGATGAATAATGATCAGGCGGTGGTGAATTATAATCAGACATTGGTGAATAATGATCCGGCGGTGGTGAATTATAATCAGACATTGGTGAATAATGATCCGGCGGTGGTGAATAATGATCAGGCGGTGGTGAATTATAATCAGACATTGGTGAATAATGATCCGGCGGTGGTGAATTATAATCAGACATTGGTGAATAATGATCAGGCGGTGGTGAATAATGATCAGGTGATGTTGAATAATGATCCGGCGGTGGTGAATTATAATCAGACATTGGTGAATAATGATCAGGGGTTGTAGACTAATGATCAGGCGGTGTTGAATAATGATCCGGCAGTGGTGAATATTAATCAGGCGGTGGAAAATAACGATCAGGCGGCGAATGAAAATGTACAACAGGACAATCAAAACAACTACCCAACCCCACCAAAGGGGAAACCTATTTCAGAACTTGCAAGAGATGCATATGAAAAGTATATAAAGATGCAGGAACGTGTACCGCAATTCGAAGATATAATGTCGAAGTGTATGGACAATTTTTTGTCTATGTAAAATGATTTTAATATGATTGATTTATACGAAATCTCTTTGTTTTTTGTTTGCCAGCTTTTTAGATATAAATCAACGGTAGAATCGTTTGAAAATAATGGATTTATTTAAATTTAATAGGTGTTCAGTTTACATAGAACGAAGCAGTCAAGGTTGTCGTTGTATAAGGATATATGATGTTAATTTTCAAGAGAGTGTACGAGTAGTCTAACTCGGAATAAATTAAAGACGGGTTTCTTGTTTGCTCTAGTTAAGTATATACAAGTTTTTATGCTCTGCTTTATTAAATGATGAAAATCTACAGGTATGATAAAGATTAACCAAAGAGGACAATTTGATTGCCGAGGAGGTAGATTTTTTGTGACTTGAAAAGGTTTTATTTCAATGTTTCGGGATTTTGAAAATTTAATTTTAATTTTTAAAAGATAAAATGTTTGTTGCGGAAAGAATGAGAGAAAAAATGCTTTTCCACCTTCGGTATCAATGTTTGTTTCAAACAAAACAAAAACAACACATAAGGACATACTTATTTAAAATCTCAATCCAACCACCCGGAATAAAAGTCCTAAAGTATTATCAGTTCACAACTAATTATGTTTTTCTGTTGGCATTATCAGATTTAAAGATTAATGTCGACAAACGGTTTTGCCAAAATCAAAACAAAAAGTCGATCATATGGGGTGATTGTACATGGTACAAAAAGGATATATTGTATTGTGTCGTATTTAATTGCATTAAATAGTTCTTGTGAACTCTTAAAAAGTTGTCATATTCCGACTTCGTGACGTTGAAAAGTATGATTGGACATTGGTATGAGCTGACCCGAACTTATTAACTTCTGTTTGATCCGAATTAAATTTAGTTTGACAAGAAACTGTTGACATTTCAAGAAACTATGTTGAAAATTTTAGAAAATATGTTGAAATATCATGAAACAAGTTTCTTCAAATTTAACATAGTTTCTTGCTTTTATGGCTCGCGGCTTATATTTTGATTTATCATATACTTGTAGAAAATAATGGTATAATTGTACCCCTTGATAAAACTAATTTATACATCTATTTATTCAATAAATTTGAAGAATTGTCTTAGCCGTGTGATATGACTTTTGTTATCAACTGCTTCCGGTATATATCAACTGTTTCCGGTTTATATTAACTGCTTCCGGTTATTATCGCATGCCTTTCTTTAACGTAATCGCAAAGCATTTCGACGTCATTCTGCAAATTCCGGAAAAAAAACCTCAGTGGTACATTTAAGTGAAAAACATAGCTAAGTAGAATAACAGAAGGAATATTAGGAAACGGGAAAATATATTATTAAAAAACGCAAAACAAATATTACAATAAATGAATTTTATAACGTTTTAAAAAAGTTTTCATGTCTGTATGGCTCCTGCTGAAGTATATGATAAAAACATAACATGTCATTTTTCATATCAGACCACTTATCAGCCCATGGTCGGCTCTCGGGCTGATATCATGACCTAGGACTGATAAGGGGTCTGATATGAAAAATGCCATGTTATAATCTATATATATCAATGTGCAAACTATATAGTTAAAGTAAGGAGCCCTGTTGGTCTCATACAGATATAGAGTTGTGGTTTTTCAAGTCAAGCGCTGAAGATGTAAAGTCCAGTGCCGCAGATCTAAAGTCAAGTGCTGTAGATGTAAAGTCCAGCGCTGTAGATGCAAAGTCCAGCGATGTAGATCTAAAGTCCAGCGCTGTAGATCTAAAGTACAGCGCTGTAGATCTAAAGTCAAGCGCTGTAGATCTAACGTCTAGCGCTGTAGATGTAAAGTCCAGTGCTGGAAATGTAAAGTGCACTTTACATCTGCAGCGCTGGACTTTAAATATCCAGCGCTTGACTTAACATCTCCAACGCTTTACTTTAGATCTACATCTACAGCGGTAGACTTTACATTCCAGGCGCGCTGGACTTTAAAAACCACAACTCTATATCTGCATGAGACAAACAGGGCTCTGTATTAAAGAGATATAGACTAAGTATACTGTCAGTGAACACACCTTTGATAGTGACGAAGATCATAGAAAGTTATTTTATGTTGGTATTAAGATCAAAATATGAGTAAACTATAAGTCACAGCTATGAATTTAAGGATGGTCCGTTTAAAGTTGTTAATTACATTTTATGCAGGAAAGGCTGCAAAGGTTTTGCGTGGATTTATAGGCCAAATAAGACTAATATATCGGCAGTGCACATGGCCTTAGCTAGTTCTGAAAGTTCAAACAAAGTAGAGTAATCTTATCCTATCCTATTTTGTGGACAAATAACAAAAAATGACTTTCGAAAGTCAAAGAGAAATGAAATTTTGTCACTTCATTAACAAAGGTAGTAAAAAAGGTCTAATACAAAAACTCGTTAACCATAACACATTTTTCATATATCCTGATTCATGTTGATACATGTATAAGTTTGATAAAAAAAAATATATTTAATAAAAACGGATAAAGAGATAAGATGTCGGTTAAGACATTTTAATTCCTTTATTCATCCCCACATTCATTCGATAGTATTCAATAATAAATATTAGGAACCACTCCTAACAGTAAGAAAAGACGGCATGTTTATGCTTTCTTTGATATATATGTCGTAAACACCGCTATTTATTCATTTGTTTTTAAATGATTTTTGGGGAATTAGTTACAGACATATAAAGGTGCACTCGATATATCGTAAAGTAATAGAGTTTTTTGTATTCTTATTGAAAGTATGAGTGCTACAGCACCAACAAAACTGATAGTCACATAGTTATTAACATGTACATTTTTTTTTAAAAATACATGCCCATAATAGATAGAAACAAATAGGAAATAAAAACAGAAGAAAATTTAAAAAACATGCCATAAAAGCTCAACGAAAACAATAAACAAGAAAAGAAAACGAATTATATTTATACTAATATTTGTACGATAATATAACATACATAAAAAAAATAAGAAAGGCCATGAAAACAAAACAAACCAAAAAAAAAAAACAATACATTACATAACATCATTTTCAAGTGGACTGTTTTTTTTCAAATATTTATTTCAATATTTCCCTTTATTTATCTTCTTGCCAATTTGTCTAGAAAATACATCAGTAATAATCATTTAAAGTAAAGAAGTGACCATTTGGATATTAGAGGTTTGGGGCAACAAAGTTATCTCGGATCCGAGGATGTTTTTTTCTAATTAAAAACCGATTTTTTCCTAGAGGCCTTCACTCCTAGATTTGATTTACCTCTTTTTATTTGCGCAGGACTTTTAACCTTTGATTTGAGCCTAGATAATATTTTTGTGTAAAAGACATTTCTAACGGAAGTGCACAGCCGATAGTCCAAAATTATTGAATAAATGTATGCTCCCTCTTTTCTCGTTACGGCAAGTTACGTCAAGTAAAGTCGATTTTCGTCCGTTCGTAAGATGTTGAGATACCTCTACTACGACGAATATGTTCCAATCGTCGTAACCAATCCCGTCCTCATTTTCCTCGAATGTGACCTAGCAAATTAGACTTTTCACCGGGGTTTTACTTTCTGAGCAACACGACGGGTGGTATATGTGGAGCAGGATCTGTTTTCCCATCCGTAGCATATCAAATCTCCCCTAGTTTTGTTTTAAAAGGGTTCGTGCTGCTCTTGCTTTAGTTTAAACTGTTGTTCTCTTTACTTTTTCCTATTTTGTAATGTTTTTGTTGTTTATACCGGTAACAGTCTTCAGTCTATCCTCTGTCATGAAAATTATCTATTTTAGATTTTAGATGTCGGGCAGGTTGATGGATAAAACCATTGATTTTACGTTCGTTGCGTTGCTCAATTCCTAGTCAGCTGTACAATTTTATTATAATGAGACATTTATTTTATTTCCCTAGGAATGAATCTTTTGGCACAATTGGACAACTTCACAATAAAATCTATGACAAACGGGAAGATTTCAACTTCCCAATTATCAATTTCCAATTTCTCAGCAGTAACATACCCTCTGCACCATCGTATGGTGTTTATATATCTCAGTTGATGAGTTATGCTCATGCATGTTCACGCTATACGGACTTCATATACAGGAGTGTGCTCCTTACGCAGAAACTGCTCCAACAGAATTATGAGGGGGCAAGATTAAAAATGACACGCCGAATATTTTATGGACACCATCACAAATTGGTTGATCTATATAATGTGTCTGTGTCTAAACTAACTATCGACATTTTTACCACGTCTTAGATTGTGGTTTACCATCTACGTCGTCTAGTCTGTTCAGTACCGAACGTGACCTATTTCCGAATATGACTGTTTTTGTCGAGTGTGAATTCGCATTGCTATTAAACGTGTCTCGGTATTTATACATCCAACATTCATGTATTTAGTTATGATGTGTCTTTTTTAAGTATGGTTGGATATTGTGTTATGTCTTATCGTTTGTGATTTGAATTCTATTTTTATTTTCTATATGTATGTAAAAGTTCAGATAATTAATCAGCTAGTTCATTTATATGATTTTTAGTTTAAAGCAACTATATCACAGGATTTATTTGTTTTTACACAGTTTTGATTTAGAAGAAAAACCTACATGGTTAGAAAGTACAAATAATTACACCATTACTAACACAATTTTATATTAATATTCTTGTAATGGTTAGAAAATACATAAAATTACACCATTACAAACTTAATCCCAATTGTATATACTATTTTTTTTAAATTTACCTGTGATGTCACT